GGTTATAAAGAGAGTGAAAATGTTTAAAACAATAATTTTGATGATTATGTTTGCAGTGAATGAAAAAAAAAAAAAAAAAAAATATATATATATATATATATATATATATATATATATATATATATATATATATATATATATATATATATATATATATATAAAAATTCTGCATCTGGAAAATGACCTAAAAACAGGAAATGTTTGATCACATATTATGCTTGACATTGAAAAAGATTAAAACTGTCATGCTTTGTTTCATGCATTGCAAAGATGAAACCAGAATTTGCATACACTAAATAAAAAGAGTTTCAGTTCAAATTTGCTTGTCTTATAGGTCAGTCAGGATTACCTAAGCTACTTATTTCTGCTAAATGCACAATAACGATAAAGAAAATAAAAAAAATAATCATTAATTAATAAAAGATTAGACAACAAAATAAATCCAGCACTACATCGGTCCGAAAGCTGCAATATCATGAAGAATTGCTCGTAAACGGATTCATTTGAAAACAAAAACAGATTTGAATTTACTGAAGAAAACGATCCAATATTGTTTTATTAAATCTAACAAAGCTCATGCAGCTGTACCTGATCCACAGCTCTATGACTTACCTCCTGTGTGTCAGGAAGCTGCCGCTGACGTGTCCCGAGCCGTCGCAGCCTGGTGTCGGGCAGGACATGCCCTCCGTTTTTCCAGACTTCCATGTGAACTGGATCCCGTTCAGGTAGCCATCTTTTTGTCTCTTGGCTGCGATGGGGCAACCTGAAGCACTTCTGTGGGATGCATATTTCCCCGTCACGTGTCCCTGACCGTCACAACCTGGGACCGGACACCTGCGAGCGGATGGAGCGAGACTCAGAGATCTTCCCTTTATCATCTAAAAGGTTGGCTGTTTGTAAAGCAGAGCGTGACATTTTATACCAGAGTTCTTGATTTATATCTTTCGGCCAGCTTTCACCAAAATATATTCATGTGCTTTCATTCCCACAAAACCTTTTTCTTTCAGCAGCAGTCTGTTTTAGATTGTTGTCGTTATATTTCCAGATGCCAATCTTTATATGAAAACTGCATCCAAAGAGAGTTCGCTGTGACAAACCGAATCCAACAGAATGACAAGCTTACGAATGAACAGAGTGTGTTGTTTGTGCTCTGCGCCACCAGAGAAATCAATGCAGCTGCAGGGATGAGGCCACAGAAGCCCATTGTGGGATTTAGGCAGAGTCAATCAATCTCTCTCTGCCTCCATCTCCACTTCTGCTCGCGCGTCTCTTTACCTACACGAGGGTCTGCAGGAGTTTGCCAGAGACCACAGAACCACCTCTCTGTAAACTCCTACAACCTTGCACTTCTGAAGTTCCTCCTACACCTTGATACCAGTGTTAAAACTTTATACTCTTGGTACATTTGTCTTGTCAGAACCAATACTGATTTATTGCTGCTTACGGGGATGTGTGCGGTCGAACAGGAGAATAAGCATGGACTGCACGAGATGTGGTGGGACTGATTAGGAATCGCATGGAGTCCGTTTTGAAGCAGGAAATGAAAAGTCATATGTCACAGGGAGTGGACGGTGAGTAGCGATGGTGGCAGGAGGAAGTTCCAGCCTCGGGGTTTAGCGGTCGGACAAAAGACTTATGATCTGTGCCTGCACGCTACCTGATGGGCTCCTGGTCCTCCTTATTCTCTTTACTGTGGATGATCTTTATCCCACTTTTCCTGGCCCGCGGACACCCTGAAAGACTGCAGACAAATGGCGGAGTTACAAGGCTGAAATGGTCAGAAAGAGAGAAGGGTTTTGTCTGCAGACTGACTGCTGTACCTTCTGTGGGAAGCGTAGTTACCAGTGATATGTCCCGAACCATCACACCCTGGTGTCGGACACCTGGGGCACAAAACATATAGAGGGCTCAGGGCCTAACACAGATCCGCAGTGTCGTAATGATGCTTATTAAAAAAAAAAAAAAACCTGTCAGGCCAATTTCTTAAAACCCCTGACAGATTTGCACTTAGAGTAATCTTTTAATAATATCGTCACATTTCTTTTTATTGCTCATAATATTAATGTTTTGGAATGGCCCGACTTGAATTTGATAACAAACCTATTGACGTAGCTAGAAATTAGAATAATGGAAAGGAGGTCACTCTAAGTTGTGTAACTCACTGTAAGAGATAAATCAAAATAAATGGGAAACTTACAAGAAGCTAGTCGAGAATGTGCACACAGTACAATTGCTGGTATTCCCAGCATTAATGACTTTCCAACTATTGGGAATGGCATACATCCTTTTTTTTTTCTCTAAATGTAAATTAAAACAGACCAATTTTTTAAATTGGTGCCTCTGCCTACACATTTCCATTTTACTGTTATGTCCCATTTTATAAATTTCTTGGTTAAATGAATACAATTTTAAATCTAAATCAGCCTGTGGTAAGAATAATTTTATCCAACACTCATTGTTAAAATATGGAAAATTTCTTAAAATTGCAGTTGCATAACCACATATTTAAAAAAAAAAGTTCAATCTTCGATTTGAGTACTTTTGTAGTCAGGGAAATAATCACATGGTATACATACATACATAATATCATTTACCTGACATCCCATGTACTACATTGTACGAAAAAAAAAAAAAAAAACATTGCCAGTAGTATAGCAATTAGTTTTCCAATACAACAAAAAAGATCACTCAGGCCTGTGGAGACAAACTCCAAAATTGTCTCTTGAAATTTTATTTCATTCTGAGTGTTTATTTTATTTGTTTATTTATCTGAAAAAGTATGCAATTTAAATTAGTATTTTCATTAATAAGCATGGAAATAGAAAATCAAGCAATCAAGCAATCAACCAACCAAAGAAAACACACAAATATCGATTAGTCATCTAAAACCTTACTTGAGTTCTTGTGCATTGTTGGCTAGCATGCTTCGAATGCTTTTATCAGCCAAAGGACAACCTGAGAGACTGAAAAATACAGCAGCAGAATACCAGATTACTCTAAATGAACAACTATGGTTAAAAGACACTGCAGCCACTCTGACAAACACATGCATGAGTAAAATATCAACCAGGAAATGTAAGGAAGCCATGATGCAAGTGCAAAGAGTTGATTAAGAGAAAACAAAAAGAGAAATGTTAACCCTCTGAGTATCTAAAAGCAAACAAATTGAAGCTGTTTTTTTTTTTTTAAATAAAATGACAATATTTAACACGTCAGAACTTTCTTGGGAATTGAGAGGTTGTACAAGTCTCAGGATCCATGCAGACTCATCTCGCTCTGCAACACTCAGCAGTTCTGCTCAAACCTTTTGAATGGTAAATGCACACTCTGCACTGGACTGTGAGAAGGTGCCTGGAGGACTAAATAACATCAGCTTAGAAGGCTTTAAACGTGGCCCACTGAGGAAAAAACTTAATCCAGGGCTTTACCCAAAATAAGCATCTGCTCAATATTTAATTATTTTTTTTTTATGTCTTGCTTCTGCACCTCAATATTCAAAGGGCTAACAGAAAACAGTGAAGCCCTGCCTACAGACGGTTGACAGCATCGTCGAGGTAAGCTGAAAACAATAAAGAAAAATAGACTTAGAATCCACAAGGAGAAAAGGAAGTCACACCTTCGATGTGAGGTGAAATTGCTCGTCAAGTGACCACTTCCATCACACCCCGGTGTGGGACATCTGCCACCGGAAAAATAGATAGATTTTTTTAAGTCCAAAGGGAAGGAAAGGAAAATGTGAAAATCACAGGAAGAAAGGGGGATTTTTATTTTTATGGTTCTCATTGTTTCCAGTTTAGCTTCACTGTCTGTGCTACCTGAGATGGGCTAGTCTTGATGTGGAATGATACTGACAGCTTGAAATGTTTCACACAGATAGCCATTAAATAAAAGTCATATAGCAAGCCAGCGGCACAATGTGGGCAGGAAGAGAGCAGAAACAGTGGATCACTGAGGTTAACTGAACAGAATGAAGGGAGAAACTATAGGTGCATGTCAATAAATTGGGATATCATAGAAATGTAAATTTTTTTTCTGTAATTCAATAATAATTAAAAAAATAATAATTCTACACCGTTGGGTCTGGTGTCTCTCATCGTGTTCAATCGCTCACAGATTGACTTTGCAGAGTAGTACCATGGTTACTAAAGCCTGGTACCTTTAGCAGTGTGGGCGGGTGCAAAGACCTGCTGGAAAACAAAATCGGCATCGCCATAAAGTTCGTCACCAGAGAAATGCGTGGCGTGCTCAAAGATTTTGTATTAGATGGTCGTACAGGCCATCTGTCTTTCCAAATCATCAGTTGCTGTAGAGGCTTCACACAGGACCATAACTTGGATTCTGTGCCTGTCCACTCTCCCTCCAGACTCTTAGATCTTGATTTCCAAATCAAATAAAAAAAATAAATAAAAAAAAAACAATTTTAATCTCAAAAAAGGATGTTTGGTTGGGCCACTGAGTCAAGTCCTTTTTCCCTATAACCCAGTTAAGATGCTTCTGACATTGTTTCTGGTTTCGGAGAGGCTTTGTATAGCAAATACTGTGGTATCAGTTCAGCTGCTTTTGTATATTTTATTTGTATTTTTGGATACAGCACTGTGTGAACAGCCAGCTTCTTCAGTAGCACTGACATTTAATGAACTTACTTGTGGAGATTATAGGCCATAACATTTTCATTACTTGTAATCCATGATCGTCAACAAAAATACAGAAATAAAAGCCTGAAATCTCTTACTCAGCAGGTAGTGAATATATGCACCATACAGGCTTTACTTTCCAAGTAAATTACAGAAAGAAATTTTCTTCTAGATAATATTCTGATCTATTGAGATGCACCAGTAAATGAAGTGGGGGAAAAAAAAATCAGAGCATGAGTGGAACAAAGCAAGTGGGGGTCAGGCGGGAAAAGAACGGGACTCCTTACGTTATCAGGTCCTTCTTACTCTCCTTGCACTGGACGTACTTGGGCTTGGGGCTTGGCATGTTAACATCTGTGGTGTAGGATCGATCCTCCAGCAGATCGTGGAAGGGATCCAGATCATCAGGCTGAAGAGAGGAGAGACACACAAAGTGTTTTCACTAATGTTCACCACAAAATCTGTGCTTCTCTGGTTGTATGTATTCAACTACCTGAAAAGGAAAGCTCTTTTTCTGCAGTGAATCCTTCTGTTACCTTTCTTCCCTCTTTGTCTACTTTCCTCACCCACGTATATCATATGCACTTTCAGGCTACAGAGTTTTGTCAGTGTGGATGCAAATTGGTGAGCCAGTGTGACTATTGAGCCAGTCTAACAGTGCAGTAAAATGGAACAGCAGAGAGGAAATAATGCCAAACGAATGGTGTGAGAGGCCTCACTTGTGGTTATGCCCGTGCTTGTAGTGCTAGTGTGTAGGTATGGAGTATTCTGGGAGTCGCCTCTTGTAATGAATCAACCTGCCACTAGATGGCACTGTGGTGTGGGACCAGACCGCTGTTTGGATTTGCAGTGTGGGGCTATGCTTTTGTCTGCAGTGCATGCAACCAGGGCACGATGCAAGTTGATGCAAATCCATTTTACCTTTCTTTCATATTTTACAGTGTGGGTACAGTAATGGCCATAAAGGCAGAAGTCCAAATCAAGACTAAATTGCTCAGCTGAAACCAGTTTCTCCGATTAATGGCACCGGAATGAGACTGATGCATGCATGCAGACAGAGGACACGGAACGCAAAAAAAGTAGGCTACAATAACGGGACTTACAAACTCACTCTGACACCCTCCCAAAGAGACAAGGGTTCAGCAGACACGCTCTTATGAATATTCACACACAGGAAAGCAGGCGTGTGCACTTGCAAACGCACGCGCATCAGCGTTCCGACAGGCGCACCCAGCAGTGGTGCATTGATTTCCAGCGGTTCTTTGATGAGATGAGCTATTCCGACTCCCTCCCAAGGTGCTACTTTGCATAATTCATTTTGGAGAGGAGAGAAATGTAAAAACAGAAAGCCAGCATGCAGGGAGCACGGAACAAACAGGGGAGATGACTCTTGTGCATGGGGATGTTGACATCAGTTAACAGACAGATCCATTAGGTTTATGTAAAATTTAAAAATAAAAGCCTTTTTTTTATGACTTTTTACCGATTCTGCAGCAAAGATTGAGTCAGACCAGAAGGTAAGAGACCAAGAAAACAATGCAAATGTTTGACTTGGAGACTGTGTTTAATCAATGGCTGCAGGGAGATAACCAGACAGTATATTCTCTCAGTCTCGGGAACGGCAACTGCTGCTATATAATTATCATCAGTGACAAAACTGCTTGCTGTTTGTGCTCCGTTCTATTCTACCCTCCGCTGCTTGTTATCATTTCTGTCTCCTCACTCAGTCACAAAGATTTCTGAGAAGACAAGTTGTCTGTGCTGGAGCATCATCATGAGCCAAACAGGAGGAGAGTCCACAAAACCGAACATACAAAATCATTAGCAAAATTATTATGAATTTCTTTATGCTTCACTTCCAATTAGGAAAAAAAAAATTCTACTAAATTTTTAAAAAGGTCTTGATCAGTTCTCTCTGCTTTCTGGAGCTCTGTCTTAGCTTTTCTTTGTACATTGGCAACTATTTAATTCATTCTCTAGCCAGTATGAGTGAGTACGCAAAGAACTGGTGTGTATTCACTCACTACTCTGGTAGATCTGCTTGGACCTGTTTGAAAACACAAACAGTGAATGAGACAATCTGCAGCAGCCTAATGCATTTACGCATCTAGAGGGGATAAACATGTTCTGTTGAAGTTCAGACTGAGCACAAGAATGGGTCAGGAGAATCTTAGTTCCTTTTACACAAAGTATGTTTGTTGGCTGGTTGTTTATGAAAAACTGGTGGGGGTTTTTTTCATAAACAACCATGTTCATAAGAATAGGAGCACCTTTATAATATCCTGAAGGTGGAGTGTTGGAAAGAGTAGTAGATTCTTAAAGAGACCAATTTCAAAGCGCGAAATAGCAAAGTCAAATTTATTTTAAGCTATGTGTGATATATGCAGCATTCATATCAACTGATGGTAAGAATGAATTGAATGTAATATAAAATGCCACTGAGTCATATCTGGAGTTGCTTAACTTGGCTTTGGATTTTGTTTATTTCTGTGTTATTTTGGTAAGATCTGTCTTATTCCTGTTTTTCTTTAGTTCATTTCTTCTTATTGTTTCTAGTTATGTTTATTTCTTATAGTTAGTCTTTGTTTAGTTCTATTATGTATCCTTAGTCTGGTTATTCTTTAGTGTTATTTCCTGACCCGCTGTGTACTCTCCCTCATCCCCTGTGCCACTTTCTCTCTCTGTCTGCTCAGTCTGCTTCCTCAACTTGCACCTGTAATCAATTAGCTCGTCAGCCTAGGTCTTTTTGTTCAGCGTTCAACCTCCTTAGAATTTAGGCTTTTCATTTTCAGTCACTACTTGCCTGATCCCATCACTTCCTTGCTACAACCCCATGTTCTCCTTGAGTTCCTTTGCTGATTTCCTGATTGAGTATTTTTTTAGTTCTTGATTCCTGACCTGGTTTTCCATGAGTAAGAAAATGCATGGGAGTATTTTGTTACACATGAGCATAACACAATACTCAATTTTTCATTGAAGGGACTATTTTATTCATTAAATCTTCAAACTAATTTGCCGCCTCCAACTCTGCTTTTGGGTCTAACGTCAACCACTACCCATCATGACACTGTCATACACTGTATACCTTCTTAATGTACCTTACTATCCAGTTGTTAAATGATAAATACAAAAAAATTATCAAAACATCAATCAAATCGAAAGGGCTGAGCTTTTCACATTTTGATGTTAGAAGATTTTTTTTTTTGCCATAGATGATCAAGTACACACTAACAGAATGCCATGTTTTTACATTTTAGCCAATAAATTATTTTTTTTATCTTACAAGGGAATTGAATTGTTTGCATCTTTTAATGTATTTCTAATGCAAAAAATGACTTAAGTGGCTAGATTAAAAATCAGAAGAATGTGACAATTTGTTGATTAATCAATCCTTTATCAGTATAATTGATTACTAAAAATATCACTAGCTAATTCACTGCATACAATAACGGCTTTATGCAATAGCTCATTAGAAATCAGCGTTTCGGTAAAGAGTTATTCTACATCTGTTATGTGTTAACATTGCTATTTTCCACTTAAAAAAGTATTAAAAACAGAATTAATTCTTTGCTAATTTGGTTGTTGTGTAGACAGCCATACAGAGAAGAAGTCTTTCTTCTCTCCAAGGTCAGAGTTAGGTGGCTTGATAAATAACTAAAAGATCTCTGTGAAAACAATCAGCAACAAACCATGAACTGAAAGTAAAAGTAAGAGGAAAATGCAGTGTTGAAAGAACAAACAAAGACTATATATATATATATATATATATATATATATATATATATAAAGGCTATTTTAAATGCTTAATAAAGTTTGTTTGCATTAGAAAACTACAGCTAAGCAAACTTTCCAGAGCCACCCTTGAACATTTTCTCTGTTTACCTCTTTCTCATCCTCGTCTATGTGTTTGATCTTGGTGTAGTCTACAGGAAGGTCCCAGCAGTCTGCAGCATCACCCATGCCGTAACAGCGGGAGCCCAGCAGGGCCGCTTGCCTCTGGGGGGACATGGGCTCTAGCGGGGTGAGTACCGAGTCCCCTGCGCCGCCGCCGCACAGACTCTTGCTCATACTCAGGTCCAACGTACCGTTCTCATCAACATCTAGACTGGGGCTCTGGAAGGCATGCATAGGTATGGGGGTGGGGGAGGTTATGCGTTTATATGTGCAGGTTAAGTGAGGAGAAGTGGAAGCAGGTTGGATGATTATATGATTATGGGGAAGGAGAGGAGGATGCATAGAACATAAGGAAGCAGAGATGAAGAGAAGGACATAAAAAACAGAGAGAGGTTCTGATCAATTAGCAATCAAACATGTTCATCATTAGATGGGCAAAGCAGTGCATGATTTTTCCTATGAAAGTACATGAAAAGTTCTAAAATCTTATAAATACTAACTTATTATTAGAATAAAGTGGTTTAAGCTCCCTTGTAACTTAAATCCCTAATCTTTTTTTGGGCTCAAGACTTTGTACAAAAAAAAAAAAGGAAAAAAAAAAGACGACAACAGACTCTTGCGATGTTGAGTAACAATGTTTGCTAATAAGAAGGTCAACAGAAAGGGAGGTTCATCAGTTCTCAAGGACGACTGCATCCCTGTGCGAAGCCCTCCTCTATGCCTCTCTCTGTCTTTCTCTTCCATTCCACGCCTCCATGCTCTGCGCTTTGCAGTCCGAACTGTGTGCGTGTGTTGGGCATGTGTGAACCTAATGTGAGTGGACATCACAAGGGGAGCAAGGGACAAAGGTTAGGGGTGGGGCTGTGAGCAGTGATGAGCAGAAGCAGGAGCAACTCGAACTAGACTGCTGGAAACCCAAAAATAGAGGTAGAACTCTAAGGTGTTCTGGAACAAAGTGGGCCATGTCCACAAGAGCGAAGCGTCCACTTTCCCTACCCACAGCTTAAGTTTCTATTCTAAACTGCACACATTTGTTTGATTTTAAATAAACACTTTAGTTTAGTCCCCTCTATAACGAATATATAAGCCTTTTTCTTAACCAACAAGCCTCTGTATTTTTACACATATGGAGTCTTGACTGAAGTTCAGGCTGGAAGACTCTTTTGGGGCTCCTGGCCCTGCAATCAGTGCCTCCCTCTCCGCAACCCGGACCTATCAACGCAGGTCCAAGCCTCACTCCAGCCAATCAACGTCCAGGCTCTGGTTCAAAAGGACCTTCACTCCCAGCCTCCTCCGCTTACCAGCCCCGATCAACCCACCGCCACCCCACCTCCACCTTCAGCTCCCGGCTCTCAAGCCTCATCATCCTCTGACCGCCGCCACCAGCACAGGCCCCGGGGGGTTTACATTCCCTCGCTGCATCAGGAATGTTCATCGAGCTTATCGAAGTCCGGCGCGACGTCCCTGGCCGGGGCCTGATCGCCAAAGAACTTTGTGTTTATTTTCACGTTATTTTTGTCATTAAACCCTTTTAACTGCTTCCCTCTCTCCGTCTGAGTCTCTCCAGATTGAAATTTCTGACCCTGGTCAATACTGAATGTGCCCTTTGCCTAACAAGCCATTGGACTTCATTCCACTGGTCAGGAGCCCAGACAACTTTTGCAGTAATATTCTAATTACTGCAAAAGTTGTCTGGGCTCCTAAAAACATTTTCCAATGAGATTGAACAATAACTGCTGGTTTGAGTGAAGGGAAACTGATGGACTTTTAATTACTTGCCAGAATATTTCAGCAGCCAAAACGCACACACAAAAAATTTATTGAGTTAAAAGCGAAAACCACATGTTGCAATAATTTTAACAAACGGTGACCTCTTATAAGAGCTTACGTTTTAGTCTGGTTAATTGGTAGCCATTCCCTCATTATTTGCCTCTGATCAAATAATGATCAAGAAAAGCTATGAGCTTCCCCCCACCGTTAAAATTTGTACAAACATTGTCCAAAATTAAAACTGAAAAAAAAAAAAAAAAAAAAAAAAAAAAGATACAGACTCCTCAAAACTTCTCCATTCAATCGCACCTAAAGAAAAAGAGCCGTCTCTTTCAGGTTCATCCTTCAGTGGGATGCTCGTGCATGCATTCCTGGATGTTACAGTGCCTTCTTTGCCTCCGACTCCTTCTGCTTATCTCCACTCTACTCCTTGTTTTCCCCACCCCCATTTTTCCAGTTTTGTGAGGAGGAAAGCCCGTTCTAATTCTGATTCCAGTTGACAGAGTACCCAAGGGTGGATTCTCCTGGTGTCCAAAGCCAAACTCTGTGATGCACTCTGACTCAAATACACGGGGTGATAGATTTGCAACTGGACATGAATACTGCAATAAATGTGGTGCAAAAATAAGGCTGGGGATAACTGTTGAAACAGAGAAAAAACAAAAAAAAACGTGCTGGATGCTGTTCAAGAACTTTAAAAGGTGAGCTGAATAGATCAAGACGCTAGACACAGTACTACTTGATGTCAAATTGAACTTTCAACATTTTTGCGCAGGTCTGTAAAGATTAGAGAGTCAAATTGGAAAGTAATGACACTTAAACAGGAATACAAGAGAGATAAAAGCAGAGGACAAGCATAAAATGAAGGAGAAGACAGGAAGGACGTTTTGCTGAACAGAGGTCATATTCCTGCAGAGATTCTCACTGGGTGAGGCAGTTACCGATCTTGTTTTTATTAATGTGTGCAGTACGTCAGCCTCTTCTTGTTAGCTGTTTTACTGTGTATCACTGTCAAATTAACATGGCCCACCCCTTCATATCAAATTACCAAAGATAATGTGAGAGGACACTGCATTCCCCCACTCTCATTACTAGCTGACTCTTTCTACTCTTGGCCTCTGGTAACCCTTGACCTTTTCTGGAAAGACGTGGTCTAAAGGGGGTTTGGATGAGGTTTCCCACTAAAGCGAATCCACTGTAATCAAACACTATGGTCTTTACATTTGCTTGGTGCTGGGTGAATTTTGTGTAAGCTTCAGTGTATTAATGTGCAATTTTTTTTCTAAACAGGTTGTAAAAAAAAAATGCACTGAAGCATTTCTAACATCTACTTTATTTTTTGAACTCCATCAGGGTGTCTAAAACTTTCCCCTGTAGTTAGATATTATATCTTTTATTGTTCTTAGCCACAGGGAAGGATAAGAAAACATATAATTAAAGTGAGACAGGTGTATTCATAAGTCGGAAAATAGCTATTAGGGAAATAGGTTCTGACCTGAACTTGTCCATATCTATATAGAGCAATAATTAGCACTGTGAGAAACAACACTGGACAAGGACCCAAGTTGACATTGCTACTACATACCACACAGAAGGATAGTAAAGGAAATTTACTGTTGGAGAAACAAAGAAAAAATAAATATTCCAAAGTCCTAATAACATCCAGAAATGTAAATGTGGATTGTGCCAAAACCCTAGCAGACATTTAATTGAATCTGTGTGATGTGTACATGAGAAGACCTGATTTGGGCTCTTGTGGCAGCAAGTATTTCAGATGGGTTTGGTTTGAAAAAAGGAGTGAATCTATCAGTCTTTGCTGTGACCCTGCTTCTCTCCTGGGAACCTTATTATAGTGTGTGGCATCATGGGCTCTTTGAAGTATCAACTTAGGCAAACATCTGGTGGCCTGCATCACAAAACCTGCTGAAAGACAACAAGCCTTTCAGCAGGAGAAAGATGTGGAATATATCTCCAAAATAACAAATAAATGATTCACCAGATGCTACGACTGTATTTCATGGTCATCTCAGTCAGAAGCAGTCAAACTTATTTATTTCTATATACTCTGACCATGTAAAATGTTATAGAGAAATTCTGGCGAGTGAAAGCTTTTTGCACATCTTTACCAGTTGTAAGAAGGACCAGTAAAAACTAATATACTGTGGCTGTTTGTTTAAGTTACAGTGGTCTCTGAGCAATCTGAACTGTATCAAGACTGGTGATGAAGTTGAGTATAAAAATTGCGATTCGTGACAAAAGTCACATATTTTCGCAAAATAAATGAACAAAAAATATAAGTGTGTCAAAGTTTTGTATTGCAAACTGATGCTGAACAGTTTGCCTGATTAGAATAACCAAACGTTTTAGCAAGCACAAACAACTCTCACTTGACCGCTCCCACCTTTGATTTACTCTGAGCCAGAGCTTCTCAGGACCTGCTGCCCTGCATATTTTAGATGTTTCTTTGCCTCAACACATCTGATTCAAATGGCGCTTCATTAACAAGCATCTGCTGAACCTCGTGACCTGCTGAGGAGATAATTCAGACAGGCACGTCGAAGCAGAGAAGCATGTCAGTGGGAAGGCCTGGACACGCTCACAGGGGTCGCCAGCAACAAAAGGTTCCCGCGGAAACAACAATCCTGCTCAAAACACAATACGTTTTAGAGCTTCAGCGACAAATCCAATGAAGTGATTGAGAGAAGCAGGCGGATAGACTGGGTGTAGAAAAAAAAAAAATGAACGAGGTGAGAAAACGAGGTGAGAAAAAGGTGTGCGTGCAAGGCTTCATTCAGACTCAGAAAAAGAACAGCGTGAGCCACGAGGTGAGGTGTTGAGATGAAAGAGGAGGAAGGAAAACAGAATCCTCTGAAGTTTCATATTCTGTCCTGAGAGTTTCCTGCTCATCTCGTCCCAAAGCAGGGGGAGGCGGCTGCGGGTGCACACAACGAAATGAGGTGAAACTACAAAAAAAAAAAAAAAAAAAAACCCAGCCCTGACTGCTCCGGAGCTTGTCCCGCCGAGTTTATTTTGTCTTGAAAATAAGCTTCTTTTGGCCGTTTTCCTTCCCTGTCCTCATTGTTGTTTTGCTCTGTTCTCTCCTCCTTCGCTGTGACATTTACAAATCTCTCCCCCTGTGCCCCCTTTCTTTCTATCAGTCTTTATTCTTAACTCCCTCGCTCTGATTTTCCAGCAGTCTCCTCTGTCAACATAAGCCAACGTTACACCTCCACTGTGCACTCCCACTCTGGCCTCCATTTTCCAGCTTAGCATCTGGGCACAGATAATACAGGAGCACTGTCACCTTATCTCCTCAGAAGTGACACACCGGACTCACGCCGTGTCAAACGGCGCTTCGTCCCAGCTCCTATCTGATTCCCAGACGGAAAATAAAGAAAGTGCCTTGCGGAGCCCTGAGTGTAAGACACAGCTCTGGGTCGCTCACAAGTCATGTGCACGCTGGTGCGGTTATATGCAACTCAAATCTCCTTATCTTTGTCAGTTTTCTATGCCAGAATTAGCATAATGAAGGAAGGAAAGGGATAATCTGGATGTGGATATTTCTGCACCTGCAGCAGGAGGCCACAGCATTACAGAGGAACTATTCAGTACATCTTGGCAATACTCTTAGAAGTCATATGGGCTTCAGAGTCAAATCAGGAAATGCATCATGATTTCACTACTGAAATTCATTAGAAACACATGTCCATATCCATGAAAAAAAACCAAACTCATTTATTTACTGATTTCAGGAAATAATTTCTCAGTTTCAAATGAATATGTTGGAGAAAAATGATTTGCTGCAGTGACCCTTGAAAGGAAGCCTTTCAAGAAGAGAAGTTTCAAAGTAATTTGTTGTAAATGGTGCTTGAAGGCTTACAAGTGTCTCCCTCTTTCCTCAAAATGTGTCCATGGTCAATATGGCCAAACACTGACTTTTGTTCTAGGACACGGAACTTGTCTCCTTCCCGAGTAGTTTGATCATTGGACATTCCTGTTTAGGCTTGAACAGATGGACGCAGCACATTCAAGCAACCGGAAACCAGATGTGCAACTCTTTTCCAAAGCCGAAACATAAATAAGCCGGATATTCAAATGAACAAACATAAAAAAATACATCTCTCACATATTCCTTCTCTTATTATTGTGGTATTTAGGAAATAGAGACAATTTTGGTAACTAACTGACCTAAAACAGGAGACATTTGGTCTTATTTAACTGTAGACAGCGAGAAAAAAGGTCCATGTGTCTTTATATTTGGTGTAAACTTCTGGTTTCAACTGCATGTTGAATCGTGAAAGTTAAAAGCATTGCTTTGCCGGGAGTGGGACTGAAAACCTGGGTAGCCAATGGTCTTAAGTGGTCTAAAGAAAAATTGAAATTGAAAAAAAGAGGCTTCGATTTACCAGAGAGCATAAAGATTTGAGACTCAGAGACTTTCCATCACAGTGAAGATCTTAACCTCAGTGAAGATCTTTGGGACAGCAATCCGACTCTCCCGTCATTTCTACAAGATTGTGGCAAAGTAGCAACCGATCACTGAAATAAATGCAGCAACGTCGCAATAGCTTTACAAAACGATGCCACAGTGAATGTGTGTTGCAATCAAAGCTGGAGGTTAGAATATCAGAGTTGTCTTTTTTACAGGGTCATTTTTTTTTTTATAGTAGTTAATTAAACAAGCACATTTTTGAGTGCATTTAAACCCCGCCCCTCTGCTCTCACCTGTGAACATAAGTCCTGGGGTTTTCCGCCCATGCCGTGGGGCATCTCCCGGCAGCGCGTGGAAAGGTTGAGGATTGCGGTCGCCGCCATGTGGGCAGCTTCCATGTCATGGCTGTAGTCGAAGCTGCTCTTGCTGCACGTGCTGCTGGCGCTGCTGCCCCCTCCACCTCCGCCTCCTCCCGCGCCCCTTCCACCACCCCCACAGCTCAGGCTGCTGTTGCTGCTGCTGGGGGCGTAGGTGCTGGTGGTGCTGCTGGCTGAGCTGGAGTTCTTGCAGTATCGTTTGGCTGCAGGGACACACAATTAAACAACCTTCTTTTTTTTTTTTTTTGCCCATCCTGCAACATTTGACCAAACACAATGACTTTTAATCCAAGTGTAATATAATAAAAGTATGATTCACAGAAAGGTGCAAAACATATGAACAAAATTTCTAAATAAGATGAATTTCAGAAATTAAAACGTCTACAATAATTAACAAATTTTTGTTTGCAAGAAGGCGGTCAAATTCATGTATGAGCAGGAAACGGGCTGTAAAATGATTCCCAGAAGGGACTGTGCTTGGGTTACATGTTGGCCATAATACATGGTAGGTTTGATGCACAACATCTCTGGTTAAAAAGAAGAACCCAACATTCTATTTGACTGAAAGTTAGAACTCAAATTCTTAACAGCAAATTGAAACCCTGCTAAGATCTATATCAGGTTCGTAGTTGATCTTGCCAATATGGATTGTGTGCCCAGGTGGGCCTCATATAGGACAACATTATGAGCCCAGGCCCATTCAGTATCCATCCAATGCTGGGCAAAATCCACAAACACATCTTGGCTGGATTTTCTGTTAGGTTTTGAAGGGTCTTCCTATCCAGTCCTGGGTCATTCTCACAGAAACTTTTACTTAAAACCTAAATCTACCTGCCTTGGAAGATAATCCAGTTTTCCATGTCTCATAGAGGCGTTTGCATATTTTTAACCAAATAATATCTGGGACATTTGCTGGATAGAGCTGAGTATCATCTGCAAAACGATGGAAGTGAGATGATATTGATCAAATAAAGCATGTACAGAGGAAACAGAATCGAACCTAGTCAAGAAACTTTGTAACATCATAAGTAAAAATGGTATCTATGGTGACAGATCAAATTGTACAAACTAAAATCTGTCAGACAGATATGATTAAGACCACCTCACAATCACAAATAAATTAAGATCAAGTAAAGATGTTTGGCAAAGTCCTAAAAGTTTTTTTTTTTGTTCAGTTTCAAATTTTTGGGAGATGCAAGTCTTCTTGGACAGAAGCAGAAACTATTCTGAGATAATTCCCTGCATAGATATGTGAAAGAAATCGGACATATTACGAGAATCTCTTTAAAGAGTCTTATGCTGCTTTAAAATAGTACCATCATATCCTTTGGGGGATGTGTCCCTGTGCCCGTGAACTTTGGGTGCAATGGCCCGCTTTCCATACACTTGGTGGTTGTTGCTGCCATCAAAAGCGCTGTAGTCGAAGCTGGTCTTGGAGTACTTCTCCAGTTCCTTGGCCAGGTTGGAGCGGGGCGTGCTGGTGGAGACATTGTTCTTGTAACCATACTGTGGATAGTCCAGTTGTTTGACAAAGCACATAGGCCTGGAAAATAAATGACGAGGGGGTGGAAGTTGGACCGAGGCACTGAACATTGCCCAGGGGGGAGGAGAAGAAACCTGGTTTTTGGTTAAAAAAAAAGAAAAATGTGTGGAATGGAGGGAGGAAGAGAACGAGCAGGCGGCTGTGGGAAAATTAATACATGGAGGATGATAGAAGATGAAAAATGACTGAAGGTGCAGGGCTGTTCTGCTCTTCTTTAAGAAAAAGAAACTGCTTTGAGTATTTTTAAGTAAATGCAATAAAAGAAAAAAAAATTGAATCAAGCATTTCTTTTATTTCTCTTTTATGTGATTTCATCATTTGATGTGCATTTACAGCCTCAATTTAGGCTTGGGAAGAAAACGGTGCCTGATATTCTGTTTGATACGGATATAAAAATTCACAACTACTTATGACTTTTCATCACAGCATTTTCATGTCTATCAAAGACACTCATTCAAAACGCAGGGCCTGAACGACGATGAATGAGGCATATTTTGTTCAAATGAACGTGCAGTCTCTCGGGTGTATTCTCAGGGGACAGCAGAACTTAAACATGAAACAAAAAAGGGGAGACATCAAATCTCAATTACAGGATGTACGAGGAAAAAGAAAGAAAGAAATCCCACATGATATGAGTGGTTTTTTTTTTTTGTTGTTTTTGTTTTTTCTGGGTTTATCTCAGTGCATCATGTCACAACAAATTTCACAGCTTTGTGAAAATTTCAAATCGGACATGAGAAGGAAAGATCTGAGTGAATACTACCTTAAGACTCTGTCAGAGGCTTGGTTGGACTTTGGGCCATTGCAGCTCTGATGCTTCTCTTGGGCTTTTGCCAACTTTTCAGCAGCAGCAATCGGGCATCCAGATAGACTGAAATGAGAAGGGAAATTTAGATTCTACGTAGAGCGAACATAATATAAAATGTTTGGCTTGTTAGAAGTGCTTGTCATCCAGTCTGTCGAGCTGCCGGAGCGACTGACTGTGCATCTGCCTGTCAGCCAGTTTGAAACATCGACTGAAAGCACCTAACTACAGTTCAGGAAGTCTCTGCTTAAAATATGCAGAAATAAAAGATGCAAACTCATTAATTTTCATCACTTTTAACACTTTTGATAACAACGCAGTTGGCAACAGCTTGCATGTTTCTGGTTGAGCAGCTTAAGATAATTCTCGGAATAGATTCTCCCATATGGACAAATCTTAATTTTTTATATACATTCTGCAGCTTGTTGCCTTCAAAGACCAGGAGTTGACAGGAAAAACCCACACATATGGGATATACTGTGCAAACCCTATTTTATAAAGAAGAAAAACTGGTGAAGATTTTATTCTAATTAATATTTTGTACAATTATAATCTGTTCTGCAACATAGTAATTCATATATTTGGAGTAAATAACTATTAGAGAGAATTTTGAGAATTGAAACTGATGGCCAAACTTATGTAAGCAAGGCCCAATAGCATGGTGGAAGATTATCTTTTTAGCAGCATAACTGGTGATAGGTGGGTACCAATACTGGACATGTAAAAGAGGCACCAACAAAGGCTTTATCATTCAGAGCAGAGACAGATCATGCAGCATTTATTTAAGCCAAAATGAAACATCAGCTAACTACAAAACAGTCCCAAAATTAAAAAAAATATATATGTATATTAAAAGAAAGAGAAAAATTATAAATATGCAACATTCCAAGCATTTCTGTCTATGTCGATTCAATTTGTAGCTGTTTTTTTTAAAATTGATATTTTGTGTCTGACCAGAGAAGATGCCACATAAAACATCAAAGGCTTCCACAGCAGAGGACTCGTCTAAAACCAGAGAGGAAAAATACAAGTTCTTAAAGTAGAAAGCTTTGAGTAAGTCTAACAAAAGTAGTGTTTTTAATCTTTTGTTCTTTGGGCCTGTTGTTCATGTTTTGAGAAAGAATTCTTAGGCTTTCATTTTCAATTTAATCTGTTTTCTTAATATTAGTAAGAATATTCGGGGGCTGGGGGAGAGTGTATTTTATGGGCTCTGACGGCAAGTTCTCTTTTGTGTATGTGTATCTGTGGGTGTGTAAGTGAGTTTCGTGTTTCTTTTTGCACTCGTCATACTCCTTCTTGCCACAAGAGGCAGTCAGGTGAAATATGACTTTTGACTGACTTCTAGCAGACAGAACTAGATATTCAGAGGTCAGGATCCAGAGACAAGTCACTTGTCGAGTCCTGCTGAACAGCAAAATCCAAAAATAATGTTTTTTCTAAATTTTTCTTAATTTATATGTAACGCAGCAACGCCAGTCTTCTTTTGGTGCGAATGTGCAAGTCGAGTTGATGTTTACCAAACATAAATGTACATGCCGGAAAGATTCTAGAGAGTCTAGCAAATGTATTTACTCCCCTTGAGCTTGTTCTGTGTCTCTTCAATGTGTTTGGATTGGATTTTTGTAATAGATCACCGTCGAAGTGGAACTAGTATGATAAATGGCTGACATTTTAAATGCACATAAAAGTCTCAAAAATAATTTGTTATATGATTTTATTAAGTGCTATCAGAGTAAAGCAGGTTGAATTCAAATTCATATGTTTTAAAGGATTTTTGTTTAAAACACTACTTTCTTTAGGGTTATTGCATAAAAACCTTAAAGTCTACATGGGTTTGTGGGTGTGACATGCCAAAACGATGGAGAAGGTCAAGGGACATGAGTACTTTTTGCAAGACATTGTGTGACGGGAATGCATTTAGTTAATCTTAGATATATTTTCTTGCTATCACTTCATTTTGCTATCTTTAACCTCTATTATTCTCCATCTTGACTGTCAAATGTGTCGTGTGAAAAAAATTATTTGTGACAATGGCCCGGAGCCAGTTGTCTCCGCGCGCAACCTGCCGTGATGAGCACATGCACGGATGAGATTGTGGAAAAAGTGTGAAGTAGTATGTGGAGGTTTATAGCAGACCTTTCGTGCAGAAGTGAAAGTTTACTGTGCGCGGCTGTGTGGTGCCGCAGTTTGTCACCGAGCTCAGCATGGAGTCACCCGTTCTTGGTCCTCCCAGGTCTGCACCTCTCCTGTCACCCTGGCTGAGTGGCAGCAAGGTGCTAATGGCTGCTGCTATGCCCGAATCCCTGAGCATCTGCTGCGGGTGACACTCTTTTTTTTTTTTTTTTTTTTCTTTCCCCCCCCCCCCCTCTGACAGCAGCGCCAAGCAGCTATTTCAGTTCCTACCTCCAAACCTGCACCTGATAGATGGCTTTTTTTTTTTTTTTTTTTTTTCCTGGGGCTGAGGAATGATTTATGCTGTGGGAAGTGTGACTTGCTGCATTCAAACCAGCCTTAGCTAAATTATGTGATTGTGAAGCAGCTCGAGTGTTTTGATCATTTCTAGCGTCCACACACGCGCACACAGACACAAAACGTTAAAAAGAATGAATTCACTTACAATCAAATCTAAAAAAAAAAAAAAAAAACATTGAAAAAGCAAAAAAATAACTGATGAAATAAAGAATACCTCAAAAGAGGGATGATCAAAAATAATCCCACAGGAAAGAAAATGGAGAAAAAAAAAGGGACAAATACGAGCTTCACACAAGATGAGCTCTTACCTTCTATGAGAGTTTCTGTTGCTATTGACATGGCCGCGTCCCGTGCAGCCAGGCGTAGGACACTTAAGAACATTCTCATACATTGCCACAACTTCGCACAGACAGGAGACAGGAGTGAAAGACAGGGAAGGTTAGGAGCCCTTTACAATCACCCATGAGCGCTATTAGTGTGTGAGGAACCTGGCATTATAAACATCATTAAGAAATGAACCCAAATGACCTCTTTTTCATTTTAATGAACACAAGTTTGAAAGGGCAGGCGAGGTTTCCCACCATATTGCTTCCACTTATCTAGCTCTTTCAAATTAGTATTCATGGAATGAGGGACATTCATGAATAAAAAGATGTCATTTGGGTTTGACAGGACAAAGCCGGTGACAGACAGGAATAGAAGGAAATTTTTTTGGCGCATGCAAACAGCTTACAGTCATGCAAAACGGGAGCCTTAAAATCGATGTTGGGACACAAACAGAGGGGAATGCAGCTTCTTGACTGTGTGCTTTCGTATCATCCATGCCTTGTTAGGGCACAAAGTGCAGTCTCCAATACCGTTTACCGTTAAAACAGTCCATAACGCTCTCACATCACCTCAGCAACTAGCCAATTAGATTAATGATCTATGGATGTCCGAGAGGAGCCGTCAGAGCGCAGCAGGCTTGGGGGAGGAGGAGGAGGAGTCTCCATGCTGGTGGCGTGTGGGGCCAAACCCATCGGCATGAGCTTCATCATTATCGCCCCCTTAAACTTTAACCCCACATCATCCTCCTTCCCCTAAATACTAATTGGTGTTTGGTGCAGGTAATTGGACAAAGCAACCCCCAACTCTCAACATGGCACGAGACAATACATTATGCATATTCCTACTTTGCGCTGGCCTTCTGTTGGGGGACAGGAAGTGTAGCAAAAAATTCAAGCTCTACTCTGAAGAGAAGCCTAAAGTGAATAATATAATGAATCCAAAGACATGTGGCACAGGATGGTTTGAATAATATTTAGGCTGTTTTTGATGTATGCTTGAAAGCTTCATCTCCATAAGAAAAACAATACTCATGGACAGTTTACTTTTCTGATAGTAGCAGTCTGTTACAAGATCTTTCAGCATAAAAATGCCACAGCATTTCTTGTCAAAGTATACAAATGATTTGTAAGCCCTGTAAGAATACCGGTTTATGTGCTAATAAAACAAAAGTTAGCATCTGCTTTTGAAGTTCTTTTTTTTTTTTTTTACAGAGTCTGGGCCCAGCTAGATCCAGTTCAAAATGTAAAATCTAAACCTGTAAAAATTACTTTCTAAAAACAGATTATCCGATTTGCAATTCAAGATTCATAAAATCAGTCTTCTTTTGTGGGAAAGCAAAAAAGGGGAGTGGTTTCAATGCTTTTTGTTATTAGGATCATTTAATAATCATAAAAAGCAACCAGTAGCAAACTAGTTAAACCTTAAATAAGTTATTTTACACTTAACGGTAGTTTCAAACAGTGCTTGTCATTTTTGACGACTCATACTGAGTTTGTGTAAACAAAAAAATGTGAAAAATATTGTTAAAATATGGTAATTTCATTTTCATGAATATATGTATTGTTATTCTCCAACTCACTTCCTCCAGTCCATTTGTAATCTAATATGGGTTTAAGTTTTAGGATTTTTATTTTGTGTCTCAAAGTTTACTTGCTTATTGTCTTGTATAAAAAAATCACATTTTATTCAGGATTAACACACTTTCCCATTGGTTATGGGAAAATCACCTTTTAGTCTTTTTCTTTTTTTAGTTTTGATGGATGGAATTTAAAAAAAATGAAGATTTCAAACACTTGATCACAACTGCATCACAAAATGCAGTTTTCTTCTACTAAAAAAAACCCCAAAATGAGCAAATAGTCAGAAAGAAATACTCTGAGATCTAATTTAATCGTCATTTTTCACAAGTATGGTCAAACTGCACTTTGTGATTTCCCAATTACATAAAGTCACTGAATTAATAATACATGCTCCATTCATAACAGAAAATGTCTTAATGGGAAAGAGTAAGAAAGGCTCAACCCTTCAGGCTATCAGATGTAATATATGCTCCTATTTACCTTCAATTGTCCTCTTGATGACTGAAAATGCTAAGTCTTGAATTATTCACTTGGACATGTATATATATATTTTTATTATTTGTAGGAGGAAGAACAGAAGAAGTAGGTGTTTTGATGACCCTGCTCAGAGTTTTACTAAAAGGCAGACTGACAGTAGTGGTGGACAGCGGATGTCTATTCATGACCTTTCCAAGTTCTGCTTAAAATCTCCTGGTTCAGGATACCTGCTCTGAGTCATTTTGCAGTTTGTTTGGGGCCAAAAACCACACTTGTGTGTGGTCTAGCTCTTTCATATTATCTGTTTTTTTAAAACTTTTTTTTTTTTTTTTACTTATGTCTGGGTCATGGCACATCCTAACTTAATTTTCATTCCGTCGTTAATGAAAAATACACACGAGACTAGATGAGTGCGCAGGGTGAAAGAGACTGAATCAGCACGCTGAATGCTCTAAAGGGAAAACTCATTTTTCATTCAAGGCTAATGTTTATTGCCACCTCTCTTGATCTGTGGCTTACAGATATGAGACTGCCGCCCTATTCAACAGAATTCAATTGAGCGAGGAACACAAATAAATGAACAGGGTTTATGCCATGGATGACTGAAGCACGCTCAGTGTTATCAAGGTCTGCGAGCATTTTCGAGTTTCAAGAAAATGAAAAAATTATGACTCTATTAACAGGAAAAAAAAGCTCCAGAAATGAACGGAGAGCAAACTGTTTAACCTTTCTTTCCCCTCAGACATGCGCTGACATGCAGTGAGAAAACACACAACCCTCAACAGGACTCCATTCACAATGAGGAAGTGGGATTATCTTATTCTCTCCGTCGCTGTCAGTCAGTGCAGCTGTGTCAAGCAGGCCAGTGAATCTGTAACCGACAGCCCTCGACTGTCCTGCCAATTACCAAAACCTCATTTCCCACCTCATCAACGACGGCACCCTTAGCAGACAGTCAGAAAACAAAACCACGACCCCGTGCAAAATGCCGGAGGAAGCTTGGTGCAGCTGCAACCCATCCGACCTCTCACAATAAAACAGGTACACACCGACGTAGCACCAGACATGGCGGCAAGCACAGAGCACATGCTGATTGCTGAACATCAAAGAACAGGGAGGACACTGGCTGAGACCGACTGCTACATGTAGCTGATTTACTCACTTTCTGGCGGCACTCTGTCTTTGTGCGGACAGCCCGACAGGCTGCGGTGGTGGGGGTACAGGCCCGTCACGTGACCCGTTCCGTCACAGCCCGGCGTCGGACATCGGCTCTCCTTCTTGTCTGCGCGGGAAACATCTGTGGGCAGAAAGCTTCGTGACAGACTTGGAAAGTGTTGGAATGTTTCCATGCTACCATCGTAATGATCATTTGTGGATTCATCACAATGTGAAAGTCTTAAATGTTTGCAGTTGAGTTTTGTTTGTCGTGTCGACTTGTAAGCAAGATGGTTATGCAGAGACCAGTGAAGAGCTGGTCACTGGAGCCTCTGTTCTGTATCTGTTTTAGAGCTGAACGTCGTCCTTACACCTTCTTCAGGTGTCTGAACTCCTGCCATCAGAAAAACACATTGAAAGCAAAAACACCAGTCTGCCACGTAACAGTCAACCTCAAGATAGTGAGATGCCAACCTGCTGTCAATATTATGTGTTTTTCATATTGCTTGAAACTATTGGGTTCACAAAATGACAGTTAATTACTCTAAAAAAACTGTTTTACAAATATTTTAGACATCGAGATAGAGTTCAAAAATGTATTTTAATTCTGGTCAGTGTTTCTCCAGCTAGAATCACACTCTCTGAAAACGTATGGGTTTTTTATACTAACTAAGCAAAGGATAATCATGACTAAATAAAAGCAGCAACCAGACCTAACATTACAGATGTTACTGGGTAACGTGTGAGATTTCTGTAGTAGTAAGAATACAAATATATGGTAAAAGTAAAAGTATATAACCAAAGGTTAATGCTTAGAAGAGAACGGGAATGATTTAGGCAACTTGTGCTGCCGGTGTGTTTAGTTTTTGATTCTAGGACTGTTACACAAGACGTCTTTATTTTTACATTCTAAAGATGAATAATTTCTAAAGACGCAATTTTTGCTTAAGCATAATGCTGCACATCCTTTACTGAGAAAGAGAAGTACAGTTTTCAAATCAATACCGTTCCACTTGTTCAAATTTAACAAATATGCCCATGCCTAATGTGGAGTCTTAAAAAGACAGAAAACCTCAAGAGTTTCTTTTCAAGTTTGTCTTTCCATTAATTGGAAGGCGCTGAAAGTTTGTACTCAGCTCGATACCAATGCAATAGTAAGCAAGCAAGTGACCTCATAGGTGCCAAAGACGAATGCCAAGTGCATGGATGAGATTTCTAACAGCAACTGCATTTTATTATATAGTGTCTGTATGAACTCGGTTTAAATTCAACATATTTTACAAGGATCTTTAATAATAAAAAAAAAGGTCCCCACTTTGGTGACAACAACCAAATAAAGTCCATCCTGGACCCGGCTCTATTGTGGTTTAATGTTTTTAATATGTGCTATTTTTCTACAAACTGGATTCCAAAAAAGTTGGGACACTAAACAAATTGTGAATAAAAACTGAATGCATTGATGTGGAGATGGCAAATGTCAATATTTTATTCGTAATAGAACATAGATGGCAGATCAAAAGTTTAATTTAAAATGTTAAAATGTAACATTTGAAAGGAAAAATATGTTGATTCAAAATTTCATAGTGTCTACAAATCCCAAAAAAGTTGGGACAAGTAGCAGTAAGTGGCTGGAAAAAGGAAATTGAACATATAACAAAGAGCTGGAAGACCAATTAACACTAATTAGGTCAATTGACAACATGATTGGGTATAAAAAGAGCTTCTTAGAGTGTCAGTGTCTCTCTGAAGCCAAGATGGTAAGAGGATCACCAATTCCACCATTGTTGCGCAGAAAGATAGTGCAGCAATACCAGAATGGTGTTACCCAGAGTAAAATAGCAAAGACTTTTAAGTTATCATCATCAACCGTGCATAACATCATCAAAAGATTCAGAGAATCTGGAACAATCTCTGTGTGTAAGGGTCAAGGCCGTAAAACTCTACTGGAGGCTGATGATCTCTGGGCCCTTAAACGTCACTGCACCTCAAACAGGAATGCCACTGTCAAGGAAATAACAGCATGGGCTCAGGAATACTTCCAGAAAGCATTGCCAGTGAACACAATTCACCGTGCCATCGACCACTGCCAGCTGAAACTCTACAGTGCAAAGAGGAAGCCATTTCTAAGCAAGCTCCACAAGGTCAGCCGTTTGCACTGGGCCAGGAGTCATTTAAAATGGAGTGAGGCAAAATGGAAGACTGCTCTGTGGTCAGATGAGTCACGATTTGAAGTTCTTTATGGAAGACTGGGATGCCATGTCATTCGGACCAGAAAGGACAAGGATAACCCAAGTTGTTATCAATGCTCCGTTCAGAAGCCTGCATCACTGATGGTATGGGGTTGCATGAGTGCTTGTGGCATGGGCAGCTTGCATGTCTGGAAAGACACCATTAATGCAGAGAACTATGTTCAGGTTCTAGAACAACATATACTCCCATCTAGACGTCATCTCTTTCAGGGAAGACCCTGCATTTTTCAACAAGATAATGCCAGACCACATTCTGCAGCAATCACAACATCATGGCTACGTAGGAGAAGGATCCGGGTACTGAAATGGCCAGCCTGCAGACCAGTTCTCTATATGTTCTCACATATAGAGAACATTTGGCGCATCATAAAGAGGAAGGTGCGACAAAGAAGGCCCAAGACGATTGAACAGTTAGAGGCCTGTATTAGACATGAATGGGAGAGCATTCCTATTTCTAAACTTGAGAAACTGGTCTCCTCTGTCCCCAAACATCTGCTGAGTGTTGTAAGAAGGAGAGATGCCATGCAGTGGTAAAAATGGCCTTGTCCCAACTTTTTTGGGATTTGTTGACGTTATGAAATTTTGAAACATATTTTTCCCTTAAAATAATACATTCTCTCAGT